CACGCTAAGTCATCGACTTAGTGAGGCATAATAATGATGACAATGAAATATAATGATAATGCCATCATGAGATGAAGTGTGACAAAATTACGTATTTAATTCATACAAATTACATAACCATATATCTTACCTGTAATCTCATCAAAGTAACCATCATGAATTCATATAATAAGTTCACTGACCCATGATATAATACTGAGAACCTAAGGTATGTGAGTATTGTGAGGTTGTGCACTATGTTGTCACCACAGCTCGTATAAATTTGCACCGAAGTGCCACGTAGAATTTGTCCCGAAGGATCGCGTAGAAATGCACCATAGTGCCATATAAGATTTGTCCATAAGGACCACATAGAAATTCCTTAAGAATCATATACATATACCAAGGATCAAGTAGGTGTCTCAAAAGACCTCATACATGTTCCAAAGAATACATATATGTCCCGAATGATCACATAGAATTTGTCCCGAAGGACCGCGTAGACCCTCTACTCTTGGCATGCCAACTATACCTATAGTTCTCATCTACATAACATGGGCTTTTATAATTCACATAGTTTATATCGCGTAGACATATAACTTCTTACCTTATCACATGGCTCATATAAAATTTTCATACATATTCACTTAGATCATTTTCACATAATGTATATAATATGAATTCATGTCATGTATCGTAATATGAAATGTAATCATGTACCAATGATATTGGAACTAGACTTATCAGAAGTCTAGAGTTTAATAGGTTATGATAACTATGCTATGCATATGCACTCACCTATATTTCCTTGTCTTTCCCTCTATCAATCTTACTTGCCAATTGTTCTGAAACTCGTTTAGGCTCTGTATCTATAGAAATATAATTTTCAAGATGATTATCAGAAGCCTAAACCTTATACTTCGATGCTATTAAATTAAACAAATTTAATGAATCAATATTCAAATTTTCCTTTAGGGGGTATCGATACACCCCTTGAGATATCGGTACCCTTACTGCATTCTGTTATTTTCCGTTCAAGAGGGTATCCGTACACATACATAGGGTACCGATACACTCTGCTCAAAACATGCTTTTTCACCTGAAAATTCATCAACTCTTCACTGAATTTCCTCATATAAAACTCCTTTCATACCACTAAACTCATCTACAACCATTTTAACTAACTTCTATCATTCCAACGCTTTATAATCTCTCATATTTCATCCAAATTCTTAAAGTTAAGAATAATACCCAATTTTCCATGTTATCCAAAGTTTGATTTAACGCTTATAACTTCTTATTCACACCTATGACAAGTCAATTTCAGGTTCTAAATCCATTTATACATCTTTATTCAAAATTTCACTTATCCACTTCTTATCGTTAATCCTTCGTAACTTACAAATCTTTGAGTTTCTATAACCCTTTTCATCTCCATCATGTTTCCTAAGTCTTCCTTAACCAAAACCATACTTAAATTTTAAGGATTGACCAAAAGAAATCCAATTTAACTTGGCTTGGTTGCTTCACGTTGGAGAAGAGAAGAAGATGAAGATGAGAAATGTCTAGAACTATGTTTCCCCAATTATGATTCATGTGGGTTTATAAAATACCCACCATAATTATTTAATTATTTAATTATTACCCCTTGTTCAATGACCCTTTTACTCTTCCTTTATTTATTAATTCATCCTACACCAACATCTTTTAATTAATTCCTCCACTTTTCAATTTATCTAATCTAGTCATTGAATTTTAAAATCTTACACTTTAATCACTAACCTGATATTGAGGATGTTACAAATATTACGTATTCAAATATCACACACACACACACATATATATATTTGAATTAATCACACTGGTATTCGATTTGTTTATCAATTAATCCATATAAGGTATTGCAAAGACGATGGCGACCCTTTCAACCTAGTTTGCTCTATTCACAAACATCAATGTTCGAATCCTTGACATTGCTTAAAAGATCTAGTGTCTCATCGTACTAGACTAATTGATTGTCGATTATATAGATATAAATATTAAACTTTAGAATTATGATAAAAATAAATAAACAATGTATCATGTGGAAAGAAACAAAAACAAGAGGATGAGGCATTGATTAAGCAAGGCAACAAAAAAGCACATCGGTCAGTACCTAACAGATTTACCACGTTAAACCTTAACGTAGAATATTATATGTTGATGTGGTTGGGCAAATGGTGACGTTACCGAGGAGTAAGGGCCCATGCATCACCCTTCATGGGGGACACACACAATGCTCACAGAATTGCCCTCTTCCTTACACCACAAAAATCAAACAAATCAACAGAATACGATCCCTTTGCTTTCCCACCTCCGATTCTTCAAACCTTGTCCCACACCGGGACTAACATTGGATTTCATATTAAAAATAAATTCATAAACTTTTAAAGAGAATCGAATTTAAATTTTTTAAAAGAAACGATTGTCTTTATCTGTTCTCTCTAGCCATCCCCGATCCCACAGCAACTTATGAAAAATAAAGTTGTTATGGTTAAAATTCATAGCCGTCGGATTTTAACCACAACAACTTTATTTTCCATCAGACAATGTTTTCAGAGGGCAAATGAAAAGATGTCACGTAAATTGTAGTGGTTTCCATATCATTTCATTCATCACTTTAGTTTCCTTTTTGGTTTATCAAAAGACCACTTTTCCTTTTTATTGCAGTCAAATTAATTTAAGATTAGTGCATATATGACATATATTTATCATTATCTATATAGATAATAGATGATTTAGTGATGGATTGATTTGGATAGAATAATGTAAAGCCTTAATGTAAGTATGGTTCTTTAAATTTAATTTATATTCACAACGTCATGATTCGGATCTTTAACTTTTTTTAGAAAATCTAATATCTCGTCCTAATAGACTAATCAATTATCGATTCTCATATTTATTTTAAATCTCATCATGAGTACAAATTATATCTATTTATTTTATGCTCTAAATATATTTTAATTTTTTTCGAGTTGGGTAAGATTATAAAAACAATAAATTTTTTATATTAAATATTTAAAATTATTATATATATTTTTTTGAAATATTGAATCTACGACTTTAACTAAATTGAAGCAATTTCATGATAATTGATCTATTAAAATCATTTCAATAATAATATACAATTTTTTATTAGTTTGAAGTGAAAAAAGTAATATCTATTTAAAAATAACAATAAATATTTTGTCATCAAAATCGTTTAACGTGTGCATAATACACGATTTTTAAATTTGACGATTTGTCACATAAAAACTTTGACTTGAATTTCTAAACGTGTTTATGGAGTAAATGAATAATGTTTCACAATACTTTTTATCTTTAAATTTAGATGGGTAATATTTTTTTTACAAAACTTAATTATAATCCTAATTTTATTAAGAGGGAATGGGAAGAGAAATTCTAATAAAAAAGAGATCCTTCCTATAAATTTAAAACTCATAATCTAATACAATAATAAAAAATTAAAATAAACAATTTGATGAACCGATATATTCGTATAGTTATACGAGTGATATCATATTATTGTTTATTAGTGTATGAAGAGATCAACTTTTAGACCGGACTTTTTCGGTTGGTATTTAATTTATTCAATAGAAACTAAAACCAAACGCATGGATATGTAAGTGAGTTCACGCGCCGAAAAGAAGAGGAAACCCCACATCTTTTGTAGATAAAAGCAAAGCCGTGAACAAAGGCGATTGGTATGTTTTCCCCACTTTAGGGTTCCATGTCAAAGAAACATTTCCTGAGGGAACCGACCAAGCCTCAAAAAGCCACCGTCACAGCCTCCTCCGCCACCACCAACACCACTTTTCGATTCCCCTACACCAGTCCATTTCTTTCCAGTTCATTGCCTTTTGTCTTTGGTCAAGCTTCTTTAAGATTTGCAAATAAATAAGCAAATGCCGCATCAGCAATTCATTTGACACCAAGACCATAACACCCTTCTCCACTTCTAGTCCGCAAGTTTAACTGAAAAGTCGACCGAGTCTAACAAAGGAATTCATTCAGATTTTTTTTATAATTAAAGTGATTACAAAATGATATTTGTTTATAATAATTTATTAGTTTTAAAAAACCATTATAACTATAGATAAAGAAAATGATTTTTGAGCGGTAAATTTTCTTATGAAAATAACATTTTTCTTATTAAAATGAAAAACTCATGGAAAATTTTACGAGTATAAATAAATATCAAGCAAAAGATATTATGCTTATTCCACTCAACAAGGAATCTCACATTAGTGGATGCATCGTCAAACTCTTCAATCATCATGAAAACATGTTTAACAAAGCCATTTGTTGCATTATTACTCCACCCTCTTTGGCATAAATAAATGCAGGAGTCGTTAGTCCTCGTTGTTAGGTGCATCTTATGTTGCTAATTCAGGACCATAAGTAGAATGGCATCAAGATTAGACAATTAAAAAGGTTAAATCATCTAAATTAGAAGTTAATTCTAAATTTAAAAAAAATATAATCTAAAATTTGAGAGGGATAAATTTAATTTGATAAGAAGGAAATTAAATAACTGAGCTTCTCAAAGTTTAGGTTAAAAAAATCTTAGCAACAACAAATGAAAGTAATTAAGTAGAACTGCATGCATGAAGGCTGAAATTGACCCATAAATAGTTTGATTTAGAGTTGATATGATAACAATAATTTGATTTATGATTTGGGTTTTGGTTGTACGTAATCATTAGTCCATGCATGATTCATCAAAGGCTAAACCAAGCTATAAGGGCATTGTAGTCATTTTAAGAAACCATTAAAAAAATCTCCACATACTATTCCAAACTAAACACTAGTAATATTATCCTTGCTGTAATAATTAAGAAAGAGCCATTTGGTGAATTCATCAAACCAAATTCCAATACACCTTTCATACAAGCTTCCATGTTATTTTAACTCGGTTCAGCTACAAATGTGTATCGAGTTTTCATAACTTTGCTGAACCTTCTTTCCTTTCCTTTCTTTGAAGATTTTCCATATCTTTTTCTCTTATTCTCACCTTCCATCTTCTAACCTATTAGCCTTGGTGCTGGTTCATGGATATTGAACCCTTGTGGACTCTTGGGGGTGGTTTTTTCTTATTTTCTTTGATTGTATGGCACCTGCATCATCATCACTCTCCCACACCTTCGAAAAACCCCATTTTCCCCTTCTGATCCTCACACTTCTCTTCCTTCTCATTCTACTCCTCAACCCCTCCACAAACCACATCCAGTACTCCTCTAATGTCACCCCTTCAATCCCTTTCAAGAGGCTCCTCTTAAACAACCCATCAAAATCATCAACCATGAACTCATACCCCACGGGGCACCGCTCGTCGTCGTCGAAATCTTCACGTAGGGAGTTCGGAGCCGAAGCTCACGAGGTTCCGAGCGGTCCGAATCCTATTTCCAACAGGTAAAACTTTGATTCGTTGGGGTTGAAGATGATACTGAGTCGTGAAGGCAGAGTTATTGTTAATTTGTTTTTTTTATATATCTTTCACTATGAGTACTGTTTTTAGTTCTGCCATTAATACTGCTCGTCCTCTTTGAGAGGAGTTTGTCGTTGCCTTTGTTGTCATCGTCATCGTCTCTACCATATTACTCGTTTATTTTTTTGAACTAGAAATGTATAGGAAGGGAGATACTCTATAATTTTCTACTTGTATGTATGCTACTATTTGTTTCATATATAGAAGATTATGGTATGGTTTATATATTTCCTTTTGATTACATGTAGAACAAGAGTCCAGTAAGTTCATGCAGTGATTCAAATCTCTGCAACCTCTTTTTGTTAATATTTTTGGGAAGATATATCTTGAAACTATAAAACAAAAACCCTAGAAATTCGTATTTGTGTTACATGATACAATATTGTTAATATATTCCCCTAAAAAATATTTTTATATCCGTTATTGAATATTTTGGATCGAATTACAAAAATAGATAAAAGGAAGGAAAGGAGAGAAAGGTTAGCATGGTTTATGTGAGGGAGCAGTGCATGGATTTCCTTTCATTCTCTTCCCCCTTGTTTTGAAGCGATAGGGGGGAGGGAAGAAAGGGATTCTGGTCTGCCGGGACCAAAACAACTGTGTGACACAGTGAAGAAGAGGGGATCAGAAGAACCTTTTCTTTTGTTTTGTCTGAAAATTATTTTGGTCAGTCATTTGGGACATTGCTTTTGACTTCACGTAATTCGAGAAAGTCGAGATGCCAAAGTCATGATTTGATCATTATTACTGTATCATTTATCTTTCCTATCGTTCAATATAAAGTGCCACCAATCATATGCTTTTTTCTCATTCAGCTAATTATTATGTTTTTTTTTGGGTTGGGGCGGGGGTCCAAAACATCTTGTTTTTATACGTTTCAACACTTTTATGGGGTTGCATTCATGCAAAAAAAATATCCTTGTCGGAACATTTTAACGGAGTGACAGTCAACCCTCAGCTTACAGTGAAAAGTAAAAATTTATACTCCCAACAGTTGGAGTAGTTTTAGATTGGCTTAATTTGAGCTCTGAAATTTATTTGGGGTTAAGTCAATTATAAGAGTAGATTGTACATTTGGAACATTCAGATTTGAGGTTTATGTTTTGGTTTAAAACCATTTTAGGTTTTGATCACTTTACGTCATTTTGGATAGATTCTAGTTATTTGTTTATTTCTATTTTAGATTTTTGTTTCCATACCAGGTTGTCTCTTTATCCATCATATTTGATCATTTGTAACGTAGTTTTCTTGATTCATCTACTAAACTTTATTAGTATTCCATTATAATGATTAAATGATGTAGTTTATAATTACTTTAGCTTTTGTAGTTGCAAATGGTGGATGGATGTTCTCTTACTCCAATTCTTGGATTTTTAAGGGACTGAGTGATGCTATCACCTTCCAAGTTCACCCATATTTCAGATAAATCTATCTATATTAATAGCATCGAATGCAATTTATAATTATGGAAGAAGAATGTCTCAGTGCCATTCACTTTAATAAAATAAGATTGCCCAAAATTTTTAATTGCATTGCTTTTTTTCTTTTTTTAATAACGGTTTAAATGCTTAGCTTTGAAATTTAAATTCCACGAAAACTTTTGTACAATTAAACGGGATAGACTGCCAGAGATATTGAGATGGGGTCCTACCTTTGAAAATTTAAATATCCACATAGTTTAAATATATGTTTTTTAAATGTTTTTTTAAAATTCCTCGTATAAAATAAGTGATCAAAATATAGCGCCTTTTACGAATAGGTACTTAAAGTATTTTTTGAACGATTCCGATGCCTAACGTTATAAACATTATCACTTTAGGTGATCGGGCCATCAACAACGTTAATTTCTTCCGTTAAATGACAAGTGCCACACTTTGGTAATTCTTAATTTTTTTAAATATTAACAATTATTATATTTATAAAAAAACCTAATTTCTTTAAATTAGAGAAAGACCCAAAATCCCTAAAATCCCCAAATCCTAATTACCCTAACTCGTCTTCACCACCCTTTTCAGCAGTGACCATCGCAACCGACGTAGTCTATGCCATCCTTCTAGTCATACGTCGATGTAGTTGTCATCGATTGACTATTGAAATTGCATGGGATCATGCACGGTTTTAATCATTCGCAAAGTATAAAACATCGATTCACCGTCGATCGACTGTCGATCAATCACGATTTCATAGGAGCTTTGGTCGCCGTAGGAAGGTGAGGTCAGGTGGAGCTTCGTCGACAGTAAAGGGTGGCGTCTGACATGTGTTTAAGGGTTGAAGTGAAGGTTTTCAAAGTTTTGGGGTTATTTCAAAATTTTGTGTGCTTTTTAAATACAATCTTCAATTTTAAATATTTTTTTTAAAATTACCAGATTGTGACACATGTCACTTAACGGATGATATTAACGTCGTTGATGACCCGTGCATCTAAAGTGGTAACGTTTATAACGTTAGGCTCTCAGATAATTCAAAAAATATTTTAAACATGTATTCGTGAAAATCACTATAATTTGGGCACTTATTTCACATGTTGTGGCCATCTTGATCCTCCAAAATCATTTTCACTAGACATAACATATGTTTCCTTCAACTTAAACTCAGGCTGGTTATTAGTAACCGTATCAAACCTCATACCCTTTTGTATAGGATGTTGATTAGACTTCCTATAGTACGTCTATCTTGTATTGTTTCTTGCTAAAGACACCGATAATCGAAAGCCGTATAACCTAAATCCATTCAACCTTTCCATCGCTCTAAAAGCATCCAGCCTACTGGAGAAACGCACGAAACCATATCTCTTCCCTACCCTATCCACCTTACTAGCAATGAATGAATCAGCAACGAAACCATGCCTCCCAAAGGTTTGTCTCAGTCAGCTCCAATGTACTGTTGGCGGAAGATTTTGCACGAACAAAGTGGTCGGTTGACTTTTCTTGGTTGTCTGATAATAACTATCTATGAAATCAACTCAAAATCGACGAAAATTCATTTAAAAGTTTAGCCTAGTAATACTTCGTATTGAAAAATAAACAAATCCACCGAAAGGTGAATTAAAATAATCCACCGGCATATTTTAGTCAAAAAGGATGGAAATTTTTGTTTAAATATTAAATGGGATAATTCAATTTAGTCACTAAACTTTAGGGTATTTATAAATTAGTCCTTATGTTTCAACTATAAATACCCTAGCTCATTTAGCTTCAAAATCATCCCAAAGCATTCTAGCTTTCTTCCAATACTAGAGAGATTTTAGAGAGTTGTTTTCTCCTTTTTATCTAGAGAGAATTATCATTGTTTTCTCCTTGGTAGATCGAGAGAGGTTGTAATTCCTATTTTCTCATAGTGAAATTCTTCTACCGTTGCCCGTGGTTTTTACCCTAAATTTTTAGAGGTTTTCCACGTAAATTTTGTGTCTCTTTTATCTTCATTTTTATTTTCTCAAATTATCAGTTGCAATTTTGCTCTATCCGATAGTCGTCTTTCGCAACAATTGGTATCCGAGCTAGATTTGAGTGTGTAATATCTGCTTATTGTCTTTGTGGTTGCCACCAAAAGGTGGATCCTCCAACATAAGCAAATAAGAAGGTATTACCCATTCTTTGAGGTTCTAAAGAACTATTTACGATAGTGAAATAGTGGGAGCTATCAATAATAGAAGCTATGACAACGAAATTTGATATTGAAAAATTTAATGGGAGAAATTTCTCATTGTGGAAATTGAAGAGGAAGGTCATCCTGAGGAAAGACGGTTGTCTAGCAACTATCAGTGAAAGGCTAGTGGATTTCACAGATGACAACAAATGGATCGAAATGGACGGGAATGCTATGTCAAACTTTCATCTAGCATTAGCAGATGAAGTATTGTCAAGCATCGAGGAGAAGAAGACAACTAAAGAGATATGGGACCATCTCACCAAATTGTACGAGGCCACATCGCTGCACAATAAAATTTTCCTTAAGAGAAAATGATACACTCTCCGTATGCCAGAATCTACTTCAGTGACGGAGCACTTAAATACACTGAATACTTTATTTTCTCAGCTTACATCCTTAAGTTGTAAAATAGGAGAACAAGAACATGCTGAACTTCTACTTCAAAGTCTACCGGATTCGTATGATTAACTCATCATCAACTTGAAAAACAGTAATGTCACTAGTCTAGTCTTTGATGATGTTGCAGCTGCTGTTCTACAAGAAGAAAATCGGCGCAAGAACAAGGAAGACAAACAAGTAAATCTGCAACAAGCAGAAGCATTGACAACGATGACAACGATGAGAGGGAGATCAACAGAACGTGGCCAAAGCAGCAGTCACAAACATGGTAGATCGAAGTCGAGGAAGAATTTAAAGTGTTACAACTGTGGAAAGAAGGGTCATTTGAAGAAGGATTGTTGGAGTCTAAATAAAAACTCCAATCCACAAGGCAATACCGCAAACACTTCAGATGATGGAGATGCTCTATGCTGTGAAGCGTCAACCACCGTGGAAGGAAGAAAACGATTTGCAAATATATGGCTCATTGATTCGGGAGCAACATATCACATGACCTCAAGAAGAGAATGGTTCCATCATTATGAACCTGTCTCAGGAGGATCTGTTTATAGTTGCAATGATCATGCCTTAGAGATAGTTGGTGTGAGAACCATCAAATTGAAGATGTATGACGGAACAATTAAAGTTGTTCGAGATGTGCGGCACGTGAAAGGCCTGAAGAAAAATTTATTATCCTACGGATTGTTGGATAATAATGCAAGCAAGATTAAAACATGGAAAAGAATCATGAAAGTGTTCTCTGGAGAGCTTGTGGTACTGAAAGGCGAAAAAATAGCTGCAAACTTGTACATGCTGAAGGGAGAGACTTTGGCAGAAGCAGAAGCCTCTGTTGCCTCATGTAGTTCAGATTCGGCAATGCTATGGCATCAGAAACTTGGACACATGTCAGAACAAGGAATGAAAGTCCTTGTGGAGCAAAAGCTACTTCCAGGCTTAACAAAGGTATCATTTTCTTTGTGTGAGCATTGAAAAACAAGTAAGCAGCACCGGTTGAAATTCAACACATCAAATTCTAGAGGCAAAAGTGTTCTAGAATTGGTTCACTCTGACGTATGGCAAGCACCAGTTACATCCTTAGGCGGAGCAAAGTACTTTGTCTCATTTATTGATGACTACTCCAGGAGATGTTGGGTGTACCCTATTAAGAAGAAGTCAGACGTGTTTTCAACTTTCAAAAACTTCAAAGCGCGGGTGGAACTTGATTCTGGGATTAAGATCAAGTGTTTCAGAACAGATAATGGAGGAGAATACACAAGCGAAGAATTTGATGACTTTTGCAGGAAAGAAGGCATCAAAAGACAATTCACAGTGACAAACACTCCTCAACAAAATGGAGTGGCAGAGCGGATGAACAGAACCTTGTTAGAAAGAACAAGAGCAATGTTGAGGGATACAGGCCTAGAAAAATCATTCTGGGCAGAAGCAGTCAATACCGCCTGTTATTTGGTGAATCGAGCTCCATCAACTGTAATAGAGATGAAGACACCAATGGAGATGTGGACTGGTAAACCAGCTGATTATTCAAACCTCCATATATTTGGAAGTATTGTGTACGTGATGTACAACTCCCAAGAAATCTCAAAGCTGGATCCAAAATCCAGGAAATGCAAATTCTTGGGGTATGCTGATGGAGTCAAGGGGTATCGCTTGTGGGATCCCACTGCCCGCAAAGTGATCATCAGCAGGGATGTTATCTTTGTAGAAGATAAACTACAGAGAAAAGAAGACGATGATAGCACTGAAAAGTTAGAGACTACACAGATACATGTGGAAAAAGAGGTTGAGGAAGGAGATTCTTCTGAAGCAGAACCAACACATGATGACCAAGAACCAGAGAGTTTTGAAGCTCCAACAACTCCTCAATCAGATCGTGTGAGAAGACGTCCCAATTGGCACTCAGATTATGTTATAAAAGAAAATATTGCATAATGTCTTTTAACAGAAGACGGTGAGCCATCAACATATGATGAGGCAATAAACAGCTCGGATGCTTCACTATGGATGATGGCGATGCAAGAAGAAATTGAAGCCCTTCATAAAAATAATACATGGGACCTTGTGCCACTACCACAAGGAAGGAAGCCAATTGGTAACAAATGGGTCTTCAAAATCAAGCGAAATGGTGACGATCAAGTTGAGAGGTATCGTGAAAGACTGATGGTCAAAAGATATGCTCAAAAAGAAGGTATTGATTTCAATGAAATATTTTCTCCTGTGGTTCGACTAACAACAGTTCGAGTAGTTTTGGCAATGTGTGCTACATTGAACTTACATCTAGAGCAGCTAGATGTTAAAACAACATTTCTTCATGGAAATCTTGAAGAAGAGATTTACATGCTCCAGCCTGAAGGTTTTGAAGAAAAAGAAAAGAAGAACTTGGTTTGCAGGTTGAACAAATCTCTATACGGTCTAAAGCAGGCGCTGAGGTGTTGGTATAAGAGATTTGATTCCTTCATTATGTGCCTTGGATACAACAGACTTAACGCAGACCCTTGTGCTTATTTCAAGAGGTCTGGTGATAACGATTTTGTTATATTACTGTTGTATGTAGATGATATATTGGTTGCAGGACCCAACAAAGATCATATTGAAGAATTGAAGGCACAACTGGTTAGGGAATTTGAAATGAAGGACTTGGGATCAGCAAACAAGATTCTAGGGATGCAAATTCACCGAGACAGAAGTAATAGGAAGATTTGGCTTTCACAAAAGAATTACTTGAAGAAGATCTTGTCACGATTCAGTATGCAAGATTGTAAGCCAATTTCTACCCCTCTTCCTATTAACTTCAAATTATCCTCCAATATGAGTCATAGCAGTGAAGAAGAGAGGATGGAGATGTCTCGAGTACCGTATGTATCAGCAGTGGGAAGTTTAATGTTCGCTATAATATGCACAAGACCAGACATTGCACAAGCAGTGAGAGTGGTTAGTCGGTACATGGCGAATCCAGGCAAAGA